TTACATCTCACAACACTTAGAAGTAGTTATCCTCATTTTACAATAGGGGAGTAAGGCTGCAAAAGTCAAATTAATTTGCCCAATAATTAAAATCCCCGTCTATCTGGTTACAAAGTTCTGATCTTTCTACTACCCTAGGCTACCCCTTTCTAAGGAGTGCTATGAAATTACTCTGTCAAGTAAAAATGTTTCCTCAAGTCCTTATTGACACAATTATTTTAATAAAACACGAGCAGTTGATTTTTGCAAATCTACCCCTTATAACAAATGTGGTCAAATACCAGCTAATATCAAATTACTGTTTCAGAAGAATTACAAGCAGAAAAACTGGTTAGATTGACCACAGAAATCAGCCACTAAGCTGTGGGTATGTTTCAGAGGTTACATAGAGATGTGTTAATGTACTGCTAATAGTAACATAATAAATGTATTTAGAATTAATTAATTGAACATAAACTTAGTTATCTGTCTGAATTCTTTTATATTTGCTAAAAGGAAAATATCTCTCCTATGGAACTGACAGTAGAAAACAGCCCCAATTCTGAATTACAATAGATTGAAGAATTAAACAAATCAGCTTAATGACTGAGATGAAACCAACTTAAGTGTATGCTTTACGACCTGTAGTACACATCAGTAGTTGATGGTGATGACGATGGCCATATATTTCTGCACTTTGCAAATTTTCTAAAAATAAACAGTTGTTATTTTTGGAATTAACTATTAAAAACAGAAATCTGAAATATTAAATTGCAATACCTCAGGTTTTCTTATGCTAAGCTCATGCTGTTTCCATTATACTTAATCCAAATTTTAAGAATTATTTCAAATAATTAACAAGAAAGGATGGTGGGTGGAAAATCATTTATTAAACTCAATATACCTGAAGAATACTGTTTCTTTAACACCACTGTTATCCGTTCCTGCACCATTTCCATCAGTGACAGGTGAGTCCAAATTGGCAGATCCATTACTGATATGATCACTGCTTTCGTAGCCAGACTCAGTCCTCTGCATCTGCCAGTTATCACCAGGAACTTGACTCTCCATGAGGCCTTTATTTTTCTCTGCTCCTTTTCCATTAGATTCAAGGGAACTTCCGCTTCCTATTTCCTGCTTCGTTTCATCTTCATATATGGTCATTAAACCTTTTTGCTTTGGATTCTCTTTTGGCCAATTATTAAAACTCTGATCTTTGCTACATTTAGGTTTGTTACTGATGTTTGATTTATGTCTCGGACTATGCTGTCTTTTTTCACTTTCACTAAAAATACTATCAACATTTAACGTTTCTCTCATAGGTCTCCAACCTCGGTTCCGGCTTTTGCTGCTGCTATTACAGCTGCTTCCTTTCTCCCTAGAATCTTGGCTGCTGTCGGTATCGTACCCAGTGCCACAGTCACTCTTAACTTTGCCAGTTGTCTTCTCTCCCGGAGCAGGAACCTGGGCTTTACTTGAACTTATTATTTGTGCAGAAGCTCGACTCTGACAGGTAACTCGATCACGTTTACATGGTCCTTTTCCTTGACTACGATATACATGTGGATTCCCATGTTGTCTCAAGCCATTTGCGGCAGGAGGTGACCCAGACTGGAAATGTGAAAGGTCTTCTTCAACCAAATCTTAAAAACAAACCAAAAAAAAAACACAAATAAACTATTCCTCAGAGCCACTTTTAGTCACAAGCCAAATACCTT